AAAAAAAAATTTCGGACTTTATTTTATCTTCACGGTGAAAATGGCTACCGAATGCTATTATTGTGTGAAAATTCTCGATTTTATTTTTTACATTTTTAACTTTATAATGCTATGACATATTGAAAAGTGTATGGATCAACATTATTTTTTTATGAGAAATAATATTTTTTAATAATCCCTTTTTCATTCAACATACTTTATCGTAATCAGGATATTAATAAGAAACTAGCAGATAATGTAGCTTTTGGAATAGTCCACCAATTTTTTTAAAATTAAACACTATCTAAAGATTTGCATCGAAGCGTTTTTTTTTGATAGTGATTTTAATCACTGTCAGATATCATTATACTTAATCCATCTATACCACGTCACCACTGTGCCGCGACCCCCCTGTGCTGGGTTTTTTTTTTTTAATTATTTTAGTTACATAAAACTCTACATTTATCCATGATCAGATAATTTTTAGGTTCATCCCTTATGCCTTAAAAGGGTACCAACTTTTTTTTTTCAAATGGAAACATATATTTTTAGTTAGATATATTGATAGAGTTTTTTTTTTATAATTTTTAGCGTTTGAATTTTTCATTTAAGTCGATTAGTTTGCATGTTATTTCACTTTAAAGTTTTGATTTTTTTTACCTATATATATGTATAAAACGGGTAGACTTGTAATACAGGTAGTTAATTGCAGCGGTTATGATGGCTCGTAAAGACACATATTAGATAAGATAAGATATTTGCTGGTCAATGTTAAATGGATCACTCTGTATATAAATATATATATATATACAGATGTTCAATAAATAAGGAAACAGGTAAATTTTAATAAACAATGAGAACAATAGAAACCTGTTTCCTTACTTATTGAACACCTATATATATGAAAAAACTATAATTTAATTGTTAATATCTAAAATTAAAGTTAAAGTGTTTTTTTTTTTTATTATTATTAATTATTTCAGAGGAATCGGGTGACACAGAATGCCTATATTTATAAATGTTATCAAACTCGCACTTCATTTCCAGATTTCATTCTAAAATGTTAATATCTTCAAAAATTATTGTTCGAAAATTGTTATCCACCAGTCATTTTCTTAATTATATGATTTTTCATGATATTGATATATTTTATACTATATGTTTACATTTAAAAAAAATTATATGGATATTTGTTGAAGGTGGTAGAACTATTTTTTTTTAATATATAGTATTACATATTTACAGTTTTATAAGCTTTTAAAAAGAAAAAAATGATATAAAATTTTATATGCATGAAGGTATTGCGTGTGGAATTTTATTAGATTTTTTTGTGTTATATAAAGTGATTCATTTAACGCTAGACACTCAATTTCTCTTAAAATAATAATTTATTATAGCAACATACAAAATTAATTAGATTAAAAAATAGAAAATAATGTAATTAAGAAAATGACTGGTCAACCCAACTTTGAAATAGTTTTTCGAAAGTCATTTTCATTTTTATCCCTAGGCAGGAGGAAGAGTAATATCTTCTGATAAAAATAGTAGCATTGGCACTTCTCATCTAGTCAATACTTTAAACTTACTGGAAGTATGAATAAATGATATTCGAATCGAAATTTTTCCTTGTAAAAATATAACTAGTATTTTAAAATATCACGCAGAATTTGTTGAATGAAGTAAAAAATGTTTTAAAATTGAAACTCGATTAAATATTTGGAATGTTCGGTTGGACTTTAAAAATCACTATTAGTAACATCACTAGTATGGATGCTTCTTAAATATTTCAAACGATATCATCATCATTAAACTGTTGTATACAACTATAAAATATAAGTTATTAAAAATTTTTCTGTATATTTCTGACAAAATTTTTATATTTTTAATTTATATCTAAAGTAAGGTAGATGCTACGTAATTTTTAGGGGTTGACAATAATTATTATTATGACATTTAATAACGCTAGTAATTTTTAAAAACGATCAATGCATTATTAAGCTTAAACAAATTTTCGAAAGTGTTATTAAAGAAAATTTTAATTATAAAACAACTACAACTTTCAAATCGCGTCCTTGAGTGACCGCCACTACACCGGTGTCACACGTTGAACAGCTGTTCTGTCAATCATCCAATCCAGTAAGTTCGTTGTTGTGCATCACTACAAAATAACATATCAACGCTCAATTTGTGGATTTTACATTTTTAAGTACTTAACACGTATTTCTACAGGTATATTTTTATTGTTTGTACGTTAAATACATGAACATGTTATGTACGCACATACACATACATTAATCCCCTCTCAGATAAATATATATAGGGCGTTGTTATTCAAATACGTAGCATTGCAATTTTAAAACTATTATCCAGTTAAAACATAGAATTAATATTTAGTCAACATTTAATTGTCTGTGTATGCGCGATACTTGGTAAAAGTCAATTCATTTTTTAAAAATTTTTTTAAGATTACGTCAGTTTAAAACGTAAAATTCAAAAAAATGTCAATTCAGGCTTCAGGAAAACTCATTGTAGTTGCTAATCGTCTTCCATTTATTCTTAAAAGAAATGATCAAACGAAAAAATGGGAAAGAAAAGCAAGGTATGAAATTTGTAAAATGTAATACCTGTAAATTGCCATAAATTTATCTTAAGATGTTTTTCTATGTTGCACTTGTTTTATCTAAATGTGTTGTAGTGAACTATAATTGATAAGGCTATAGTGGACCATTATCATTTTCTTTAAAACAGTTTTTACCTCATGTTTTACAATTTTTCTTGAAATTATATAGCTAATAGAATTCAAAAGAAAATGTTTTTTAAAAGTTTTACCTACTCATCTTTTATAATACTAAGACAGTCTGAAGTTTATTATAACCAATCAGTTCGAAGTATTATTTTGTGTCAAAATTTAAAGTACAGAAAAATAGAACAGGATCTCAATTTGAATGCAACTAAAGATAATGAAGAAATAAATAAAAAAAAACGACCAAAAACAGCACCAATACCTAAAATAACCTTAATAAGTCCTGATAACAACTTGTCAATAGTAACATTAGATGAAGCAAGTAAGGTTTCTGTAAGACGAGGCCTTAAACTAGTTAAGGTGATAGATTTTGACACTAAAACTCAAAGACCAGTTTTTAAAATGATGACTACTACTCAATTTCTTAAAGATGACAGTAAATTTAAACGACTGAATAATGAAGAAAATAAATTTAATGAATTAAAAGGGGAAAAGACTGCTATAATTTCTAGTCGTATTGGAAAAAGTGATCTAGAATCCAAAGTAAATCATTTTCGTAAATGGTTACTTAAATGTTATGAAGTAAGAATTACAATCACAGGCGACTCATCAAATGAAATAGCTGATAATATTATAAAAATGACTGAAGGATTTTCAAGAGTTGTTCAAAAAAGACAGAAAGGTGATTCTATTAAATTTCAACTGTTACCCCCAAAACAAACTAAATAACAAAGAGACTTTTCAAGTTTATTTTTACAAATAGTTTTATGGTAAAATTATAAGTTATGAATATTTTTAATGATAATGTTCATAAAAAGAATACTTAAATTATTAGCTAATATAATAAATTATTTTTAATATTAGGTATTTTATGTATTGTAAATTTTTAATCTTATTGATGAAAAACTATTATCATAGATTAATCATGTGAGAAATTTTTATTTAAAATTATGTATGTTGGATGAATACCAACTGTGTTAAATATAAATATATGTTTTGACCTTGTCAACATATTATTTAAAATTATTATTGAGCAAGAAGTACTTTTTTTAATATTTAGCTTATTATTAGTTTCAAAAATTGTAGAGTCTTAATTTTATATAAAATATTAAATAGAATAAATTGCTATACCTTATAAAGGTATTATTTTTTCTAAGCTTTTTTTGTCCTAAAATATTTTATTTTTATAATATTTTAATAATTATTATTACTATAGAAAAAATATTTAGTATGGGAATATGCATACAAAAACTTGAAATTAGTAGCATGTTATGTATCTTTCATATTACTAATAGGTTATAAAATATTAGTAAGATAATATTTTAGGAATGACCAATGGTTTAAGATTTTAGGAAATAGATACTATTTTATAAAATACAGTTTTTAGCACTTACCACGTCATTGACTTAAAAATAATATAACATTTTTGCTGTAATGTTGAAGTATTAATTTTTCTTAGTAATAAATTATCATTTAACTTATATAATTTATCAGTTAACTATTAAATAGAAAAAATCTTGTACATTCAAATATTTAGTTTTCATATAAACTATATATAAATTATGTATAAATAATTTATTTTTAAGGTTGCATTTTTTTTTTAATAGATATAGTATTTAATTGATTGAACTATTTTTCAATTTATATGTAAATGATTGATAATTTTAGCTTTGATGCAAAGCTGAGAAGGTATTGGTTTTACTACGATGTGAGTTTTTTTTTTTGTGTGTGTCTGTTATCACTTATTCTCAACTCTCATCGAACCGATTTCTTTCAACGATACGTCAAATTATCAGAAATCGTAACCAGTTGAAGACATTACACTCAAAAATAAAAAAATTTCGCTCGTTCCCTGTAAATGGGGGAAATCTTCAAAAAAATTACAAATTTAAAAATCGCTAATTTTCGAAAATTTTTTCACTTTTTTTTTAAAATTACTATAACTTTTTTAAAAATTAACAAATCAACTTAATTTTTTTTTGTATTGAAATTTTAGATATTTATAATATGTATTAGAGATATATAATATATATATCATAAATGTAAAAAAAAAATACGATTTTTGTAAAAAATTGCAAATTTTGAAATCGACGTAAAAATGATTTTAGAAATGTATATATATATTTTGGTCTCTGATGAAAATTCCTTGTACACCAGTAAATTTATTTATAAATAATAAACAAATATTTTTTAAGTATTACATCAAGACCTTCAACTTTTGTATACGTTTGTCATAAAAGTAATAACTACTTTATAATTTCTCTGTAAAAATTACAATATTAAATTATTTAATATCAATAAATATTTATACATATATTACACTTATAAATCATAAAACTTGTAATGAGTATATAAATAAGAAAATAAGAGATCCTGTTGCTTTTGGAATAATCCACCAATTTTTTAAAATTTAACACTATTTACAGATTTGCATCAAAACGTTTTTTATGATAATGATTTTAATTACTGTCAGATTAAATTAAATCTATACTGGACCCACTGTGGTCAGGTTTTTTTTTTTTTTTGTTAAAGTTCTATTATACAGAGTGATTTTTTTATCATAACTCACTCAATTTTTCTTCTTCTTCGTCGACTTAATCTCAACTACTTTGGGTCGGCCACCCTTATCCTAAACTTCTACTTGACACCATCTCCTACATTATCTACGCTCACATCAGCTGTCCTCATATCACATTCAATAGCATCCCTCTATATATTTTTTGGTCTTCCTCTACTTCTTCTTCCTTCAATATTCATTTCTATAACTTTTCATACAGCTTTCGATTCTTCTCTCGTCATAACATGACCAACCCATCTAAGTCTATTTTGTCTCATCTTATCCATAATTGACGCTACACCTATACTTCCTCTTATATGCTCGTTTCTTATCCTATTTTCTCTAAGCATTCTCATCTCTGTTCTACTTTCTTATCAACCGTCCAACACTCTGAACCATACATTATAGCTAGCCTCACTACAGTCTTGTAGAATTTACCTTTCAGCTTCATTGGAATTATTTTATCACATAAGTGGCCAGACGCTTCTCTCCACTTCAACCACCCTCACTTAATCCTGTGTCTTACATCCTCGTCAATACCACCGCTTTATACACAAATGACCCTAAATACTTAAAACTTTCCACCTCTCCAATCACATCCTCGTCTATTGTCACTGATCTCCTCATTTTGCTTACCTCGTGTTCTCCTTTGTTAAACTCGTACTCTATATACTCAGTCTTACTCCTACTTATTCTTAAACCCTTTTCTTTAAGAGGTGATCTTCACATCTCTAGTTTAAGTTTTTAATTTAATAGTAAATGACTTTTGTATTTTTATTAAATTCAAAATATGTGTGAAATTAAAAAGTATTACATAGTTAATTAATAATTCAAGAATACTGTATAACTAAATATAACCAAAAAAAAAAAAAGTGTTTAAATTATATTTATTCTATAAGTAATTGAGTGTTATAGTAAAAAAATCAACTTGTATGTGTAAATTGACATGCTCATATTTAAGTCAATTATAAATATTAAAGAATATTTATTTAAATAAAATATTTTAAATATATTGTAAAAAATAAATTGCTTTTTTGTACAATAAGCTTACAATATAAGGGTAAATAATATTGACATGTAAACTTGATAAGAAGTCACCCATTAGCAACTCTTGTCATTTAAATGTCTATTGTAAATTCAATTATAAAATATGAACAATTTTTTTTTCATTGTATATGAAACTTTTCATAGATGTGAGAACTATTGATTCTGTTAGAAGAATTGTTAAAAATAATTTGTTAATTTATAATCTTTTAAAATTAGTAAAAAATAGAAAGTTTTATTGATAAGATATGTCACAATTATCTTCTTATGATGTAAAAAAAAGTCTTAGAATTCTAATAATTATAACCTAAGTTTTTTTTATGTAATATAGGTATGTTATCTGTTGTACTGCTAAGTATTTGAAATAATATAAAAGTAAAAATGTTGTTTATACTTGATCTTGAATATTATAACCAGGATTTTAAGTATTGAAATTTCTTTCAACAGGAAAAGATTGTACATTTTAGAAATAAGTGCCTCTTAATTGGTATTTACATAATATATTTTTTAACATTTTTTTAGTGCTGGTGGTTTAGTAACAGCTGTAGCACCAGTAGTTGTTCAAGGTAATGGAGTATGGATAGGATGGCCTGGTGTGCATTTAGAAGAGGGAGAAAAAATACCGGAATCAAATCCAAATGATATGACACCCACAGCCGGATTACGATCAGATAGAGTATAACATACATGAATACTTAAAAAAATATATTATATATAAACAGAATGATTTTTTTATCATAGCCTACTCAATTACTCACAAAATAAAATCAATTTTTAACATTTTTTTATGGTTGATTTTAGTTACATAGTATTCTGAAATTATTAGCTATATAATACTCTTGAAGTATAACCCTTATGCCTTTTTAATGTTGTGAACTTTGTCTTTTTAAATGGAAACACATATTTTGAATTTAAAAAAATGTTAAACGTTTTTTTTTAGTAATTAGCATTTTTATTTTTAATATAACTTTATCCATTAAAATTTATTCTGCGATTAATTGAGTAGGTTATAATAAAAATATCACTCTGTTACAATGTCTCAAACATAACTGCTAATGCTTAAAATATTTGATAAAATTATCATTTTGAATTTTTTTAAAATTAATTATTACCTTCTTTATGGTAATTAATCTTAAGTTATGAGCACTGTCAATATGTTTGTAACACCCTGGGTATATATATATGTGTAAATTTTTAGGTTGTAGCAGTAAATTTTGATTCTCAAACATTTGATAGTTATTACAATGGTTGTTGTAATGGGACATTTTGGCCCTTGTTTCATTCAATGCCTGATAGAGCACAATTTTCTGTGGATACTTGGAAAGTAAATATAGTTTAAAATTTTATTTAAAAATTGTTAATGAGATTCCTTTATATAAGTTTTGTTGTATATAGATTTCAATATATTTTCATAGAAATAAAGGGGGTCTTTTAATTGTAAAATTTTGATTCAATATTGTGTCAAACAAATCAGTATTTTGGGTTAAAAAAAGTAAATTTAACTTTTTATAGGGTATTTATTATATATTTTTTTAAGAAAAGTTTATATCATTGTTATTCCTTTGAACACAATATTAAACATGCATTAAATATTTAACATGCATTTGTATTTAGTTAGGCTACATGCATAATTTTAAATTTTTACTTATTATCAGGGCCAAATTAAGGAATGCTAGTGAAAAGTAATTCGATGCCCATAGATATAAGGAGCCTATTTTAAATTTTACTGATTTGTTAAGATTATTTTAAATAAACAAAACTGATATTTCTTTTTGCTTAACACCTTTTTATGGAAGCAATATTTTTTTGAGATGTGTGTTGATTTTAAGGTACTGTCCTAGGGCAATACCTAAAAATATATAAGTATATATTTTGGACTCCCTCCCTTAAATAATATTGTGGATATGGCCCTTCTTGGCATTATGTGTTTTAAATATTTAAAATTGTTTTACTATTTCTAATAAAATATTTAGTAAAATAAATAATTAAATAATATAAATATAAATTGTATACATTATACTTAGGTTATAAAGCTATAGTTATAATTTATTATGGTTGCCACAAGTCTCAAAATTCTGAAAAGTATATTGAATATTTTTAAATAGTCATATAAATCACTGAAATGTCAGGTGATATTTACTAGACATTAAAAAATCTGCTCAATCCTCCCCCCTTTTTGAAGTGTACAATTATTAAACAAATTGTAATAAAACCAATGGTAGGGATTGATCAAATTATAATTATATTTAAATATATAGAATGATTCTGCTGTTGTGAATGACTTGATTGAGGAATAAAAATAGTTTTAATTTCTATTACAGTTTTGTCAATTTATCAATCATCAAATATTTTTTATGTTCAACCCTTATGTTTTGTAAGAATTGCTACTTTATTTTTTTAACAGGAGCATGAATACATTTAAAAATAATAAATCTATCTATTTAAGAAAACACTAATCAATAACAACTTTTTAATCAATATTTCAGAAATTATTAACACTTTTATACCTAAGTGGGACGAAAAGTACGTCTGGGTAATAGCTAGTGATTAAAATAACAGTACCATAAGTTATTATCATAAATTGATAATAACTTCTTAAATACTGGTTCAAAAATTATTATTGATGATTCATTTTCTTAGTTACATTATCTTCTATTATATAAGCTAATTAAATATGTATGTTTCCATTAAAAAGTTCATATCCCTATAACACATAATTAAGTGATTCACAACAACAAAATCATCTTGTTTATATAAAATTAATTATGTATACTAAAATTTAGATATAAAAAATTATTTTAAAAACCGTGAAGAATTCAAGGAATTTAAACGTTTTAACTTATGGTAACTGTGGGGCATGGTGTGATGCATTAGATTATTCATTCGCGCCTTTAGTGTTGATGTTCACTTGCGCTGTTTGCTGTTTGTTCCCAGATGGGTGACTATTTGGGAGGTTTAACAGTGACACACACTTTGCTCCCTTACTGGCTTCCTTAGCCATAATGAGGTTGCTTCAGGTCAGCAGCCAGTGTAAAAATTTTCTCAAGTTGTAAGGTAGAGTTGAGTTAACCCCAAATAGTTGAGATTGAGGATTAGGAGATAGTGATGAACTTTTAGTAACTTAAGTTTGTATATAACATATTTTAAATATTTTTTAAAATTAAGATTCAATCTTTTTAGTCTTATTGTATTGTCAACAAAGAATTTGCATCAAAAACAGTTAGTGCCTTGGAAAATTTATCAGTTGATGACACAGAATCTGGGACACCTCTTGTTTGGCTTCATGACTACCATCTAATGTTGGCAGCAAACAGTATTAGAAATGTAAATTCATACAGTAATTGTTGATGAACAGTAAAATATATTTATTACCTTTGTTAAAAATATAGGCTGCTGATGAAAAAAATTTAAAATTTAAATTAGGATTCTTTCTTCATATCCCATTTCCTCCCTGGGATATATTTAGATTATTTCCATGGGCAGATGAAATTCTTCAAGGAATGTTAGGTAATAACTTAGTGAATTTTGTGATATTATGCTTCTACATTATAAAAAAAATTAAATTATCAAAATAAAATGCTAGTGTTCTGATTGTTAAACAATATTATTTAGGTTGTGACATGGTTGGTTTTCATATTGAAGATTATTGTTTGAACTTTGTTGAGTGTTGTCAACGTCGTTTGGGGTGTCGAGTGGATCGCAAAAATTTACTTGTTGAGCATGGTGGCCGTACTGTACGTATCCGTCCATTGCCTATTGGAATACCTTTTGATCGTTTTGTTCAAATGGCCGAACAAGCTCCAGCTGTTATTAGTACTTCTCTTCAGTTGGTACTTGGTGTTGATAGGTTAGACTATACTAAAGGTTTAGTGCATAGGCTTAAAGCTTTTGAAGTGTTATTAGAACGTTATCCTCAACATAGAGGTAAAGTTGCGCTAATGCAAGTTGCTGTTCCATCTCGCACAGATGTTAAAGAATACCAAGACCTGAAAGAAGAAATGGATCAACTTGTTGGTCGTATAAATGGACGTTTTACTACTCCAAATTGGTCTCCAATCAGATATATTTATGGGTATGTTAGTCAAGATGAATTAGCAGCTTTTTATCGAGATTCAGCAGTTGCTATGGTTACTCCTTTAAGAGATGGTATGAATTTAGTAGCAAAGGAATTTGTAGCTTGTCAAATTAAAGAACCTCCTGGTGTTTTGATTGTATCACCCTTTGCTGGTGCCGGTGAAATGATGCATGAAGCATTAATTTGTAATCCATATGAACTTACTGAAGCTGCTGATACCTTACATAGAGCTTTAACTATGCCAGAAGATGAAAGGATGTTAAGAATGAGATGTTTAAGACGTAGAGAAAAAATTCATAATGTAGATTATTGGATGCGGTCATTTTTAAAAGCTATGGGAACACTTATAAGTGAAGATGGGGATGATGTACTTCCAACAACAATGCAACCAGTTACTCTACAAGATTTTGATGACTACTTATCAAAGTAATAACATTTTTTTGAACTATCTCAAATAAATGGGCATTACATACCTCATTATTTTAGTAAATAATTTCAATCAGCAACTTTTTAATTTACAAGATTCCTAAAAAATAAATAATACACTATTTAAAAAATATTATCAATAAGAAAATTGTTTTTTTCCCTTTAGTTTGTTTAGCTTCATAATAGCCTTAATATTATATGGGTATAATATCCTGTTTGTATTATAAATTTATATATACACAAAAACAAACTCTTTATATATGAATTATATATGTAAACAAGATAATTAAATTATATAAAAATCTCAAAAAGTAAAAAACTTACATATTAAACTAGCTTTTATTATAAGCCAGTTAAATATGTATTATATGTTAAATATATAAATATTAACTGGTCAATAGCAACTTTTGGACCAGTATTCAGAAGTTATTAATATTTTTTTATCTAAGTAAGAGAAGAAGTGAGGCCAATTAATATCTAGTAATAAAAATAGCAGTACCCATACTTCACCTCAGTTATTACTCTAAAATGTTAATAACTACTAAAATACTGGTGTAAAATTATTATAGACTAGTCATTTACTGTTTTATGAGCTAAATATATATATATATATATATGTTTCCATAAAGTTGATATCCCTATAACAGAAATAAGATGAGATAAAAAAATACTTTATAGTGAATAAATAAAAAACTATATGTGATTGAAAAGTATGAAAAAAAAATTATCCTAATTATTATTTTACGAATCATTGAGTGGTTCATAATTTACTGATCACTCTGTATGTACATATACATATACACACACATATATATATAAATAAATAAAGTTTTTTTTATTTAATACAAAATTGATTACAGATACATTGGAAATACAAATAAATTAGCTTTACTATTAGACTATGATGGAACATTAGCTCCACTAGCTCCTCATCCTGATTTGGCTATATTACCTGTAGAAACTAAAAGTGTTCTTGAAAGATTGGCTAATATGTCTGATGTATACATAGCTATAATTTCTGGAAGAAATGTCCATAATGTTAAAGATATGGTAACTAGTAGAAATTGAATTTAAAAAATAACCTACAACTGAAATTATAATTTTATTCAGGTTGGTATTGAGGGTTTGACATATGCGGGTAATCACGGACTTGAAATCCTTCATCCAGATGGCAGCAGATTTGTTCACCCAATGCCCAAAGAATATGAAGTTAAAGTTATTGACTTATTAAAATCTCTTCAAGAACAAGTGATTAATTTAATTTCTATTAATTATAGCTGATTTTAATTAATGAGTTAGTAAAATTTATAAATATTTAGGAGTCATTTTAGTTTGATAAAATTAAAAAAATTAAATATGTTTATCTTATCCACATAACTATATATTGAAATTAAATATAAATATTTTAAAGAATAAACATGTGATGTGATACAATATAATCATAATTGATGAATCTTATAGTAATAATTGTATTATTTTAATTCTTTTGGATTCAATTCAATCATTATGTCAATTATATAATCTTTTTAGTATTTTTGTGATTAATGGAATCAATAAATCTTTAAATAAGTTTTATTAATCAATTATTATAGGTTTGTAAAGATGGTGCATGGGTAGAAAATAAAGGCACTTTGTTAACCTTCCATTATCGCGAAGTTCCTGTTGATCTTCGTCCTGAATTAGCATCTGTTGCACAACGTCTTATAGAAGAAGCTGGATTTAAAGCTGGTCAAGCTCATTGTGCTATTGAAGCAAAACCTCCTGTACAATGGAACAAAGGTCGTGCATCTCTATATATTTTGCGCACAGCATTTGGACTTGATTGGAGTGAACGTATTCGTATTATCTATGCTGGAGATGATGTGACTGATGAAGATGCTATGCAGGTAATATAATTTTTTGTTAATAGATAAAAATACTTTTAATTTATTACATTAATATATAATTAGGCATTAAAAGGTATGGCAGCCACTTTTCGTGTTGCTCAATCACAAATAGTAAAAACCTCAGCTGAACGTCGTTTACCAAGCACCGATTCTGTATTAACTATGTTAAAATGGGTTGAAAGACACTTTGGTAAAAGATTACCAAGAGAAGATAGTGTTGGTAATTTAAGTAATAGTTTACAGTTGTCACTTGGAGAAATGCAAATGGAATTAAGTATATCTGAGAAAAAGTCTCCTCAAAATTAATATATTTCATATTAAGTATTAATTTATTTATATGTAGAGTATTTAGTCATCATAATTGTGGGCCAAAAAAAAAGTGCTATTTAATACTAAAAAATAAATATATTTAAAAGCTAAAAAAATATTATTGAGTAATAAAATATAAATCTAAAAGTCAATTAGGTGTGAATTATAGTAATAATGTAAAATAAAATTTCAGATATTTCTTACATTCCTTAAATATTTATTCAAATATTATTGTTTCTTATCTTTTATTTTGTATTTTCAATTAAGTTGATACAAAATATTACAATTTTATAATATTAAAACATAATAATACTCTAAAAAAAATTATTTTATGAAATATTCAATTATTAATTTTTACTGATAGAAATTTATTTAGTCATAACTAGTCAACTACTTACATAAAAAATGACTGATGTTCTCAAAATAATTGCTAACATGTTTGATGTAAAATCAATCATTTTCAATTTCTTAATTTTTATTATGATTTATAAGTTCCATAATTTTTACTGAAATTGTGCCATAAAATTTTTTTGGCAATTATATATATGTTTTGTTAACAATATTTATTTTTATTACTCTGTTAAACATAATTAATACTTTTATTTATATATTATGATATAAATTGTTAATTTGCATACTTATTATAATATGTTATTATACTAATTTTACTTGTAATGTTTACAAGACAGTTTTTTTTTTTTTTTAATAAAATATATTTAACTGTTATGAAAAGGTTTAAATCTATTTTTTTTTCAAACATATAATTATTAATATATACAGTATGATCAGTTTATCGTAAACCACTTGATAATTTTTAAAATGTATGTTATTGGATTTTTAAGCTATTGATTAATTTTTAGCATCATCCCTTATAACTTGTAAGGGGTGTCAACTTTATTTTTTTAAATAGTAACATGATGTATTAAGATAATTGATGTAATTAAGAAAATGACTGGTAAATAGCAACTTTTGAACCAGTACTTAGGATATTATTCTCATTTTGATAACTAGGTGAGGCGAAGAGATGGCTGGGAAATGACTAGAGATAAAAACAGCATCCACTACTCTTCACATTAATTTATTACCGTAAATTGTTAATTACTTCTGAAATACTAGTTCTATAAAATACAAAATAATTTAATTGATAAAATGATTGGTTGATAACAAGTTTTGGACCAGTATTTCAGAAATTAAAAAAAAATTACAGTAATGAATGAGAGGAGTGGTTGCTGTTATTATTATTTATATTTATTTTTAATCATACTCTTCGTCCCACTTAGGTATAATATTGAGAAAAACATCAAATGGCTGGTCTAAAAGTTGTTATCGACCGGTCATTTTTTTAATTAGATAATTTTATATTTTACAAATAAATTAACTATATATTACTATATAAAAAAATAAAATTGACAACCCTTTTAAGAAATTATGATAAGTAGTAATTATTAGCTAATAATTCAATAATTATTATGAATTAAAATAAATAAAAAATTGGTTTTCCAATTTTGTATTTATTTTTGGATAAATCTAGTGGTTTATGATAACTGATCACTCTGTATTAAATATATATATATATATGTAAAGAATGTCCACGAGGTTATTAAATCTTTAGTTCCAGAAAATATTTATTGTTACTTTCTTTTTAAATAATGTTCAAAATTTTAATTACATTAAAAGCATATTTTTTTATTATTTGTCTCTAATAAGAAAATAATAATAATGAAAGTTTTCTTATTCAAAATTTCAGAATAATCATTTTTTAGCTCATCTTACAAAATATATTGATAGGTCAAAACTACTGGACTGGATAAATACTTATTGAATTACAAGCGTTTTATTATATGTAGAGACAGTATGTAGTATGTAGATTATATGCATTATAAATAAAATTATTTTTTTAACACTAGCCACTCTTTAAATAATATATATATATATATATATATATTTATATTTATATATATGTAAATCCATTTATCTGTTATAAAATATTATTTATATTAATCCCTAAAGTCTTATAGATGCGTCAACTTTATTTTTTTTAATGAAAGCATACATATTTAACTAGCTTATAAAATAGAAAATAAATGGTCGATAACAATTTTTATCAGTATTTCAGAAGTTATTTACATTTTTATACGAAGGGTGGAAGAGGAATGAGGTCAAGAAATGCCTAGTGATAAAAATGTAGCACCTATTCCTCACCTCCAGTCGTTACTCTAAATTGTTAATAACTTCTGAAATACTAATCCAAAAATTGTTATTGACCAGTAATTTTCTTAATTACATCATTTTCTATTTTATAAGCTAGTTAATTATGTATGTTTTTATTAAAGAAAAAAAGTTGATGCCCCTTTAAATTATAAGGGATGATGTTAAGAAATAATCAATAGATGATTAATTAAAAAATATGAGGTACTGTAACTAAATATTGAATATTTTCTTAATACCTTTGTGAACTGCTTGATAGTAAAAATATTTATATAAAATGATAAATTTATATTTAAGTGATTAAATATTATGTCATTAAAGTCTAAGAAAAAATTGCTATATCTTGTACCAGCAAAATGAGTATTTTAAAATTATGAAAGTGACCATTAATCATAAATAATTGTATACATTAGAATGTATAAAATTGAAAGTAAATCATATAATAACATAAATTTATCTATCAAAATTACACAAATAAAAATTAATAATTATTTAAAAAATGTTAAATAATTATCATGACATATATAATAAATTTTTTTTAATTAAAGATAAAATTACATTTCCACATTTAATTAAGAATAATAATTAAACACATTATACAATATTTGACTTTTGAATTTGAGAATACAAATTTATTTGTCATATAACTGTAGAGTAATATAAATGTTGATACATTATTAACTAATACAAGCTTTTATACAGTAAAAAATATTTTTGAATATAGTACAACTTTATCATGAATCAATACTTAAACTCTTTATGTTGCTACTAGTGAATACTTCANATGAATCAATACTTAAACTCTTTAAGTTGCTACTAGTGAATACTTCATAATGACTGTCAATAATTAACACAACACTAGAATGTAAAAAAAATTAAATATATTATTTTTTATTTATACTATAAATATTATATGGTACTTTATTTATTGATAATGGATCATATCATTTATTTTTGAATAATTTATTAACTTATGCAAAAATACAAAAATACGTATATAAATAAATATAAATTTTATTTAATTAAATAGTTAAGTTTTAGAATTTTATTAGAAGATAAGAATGTCTATAAACATTCAAGTCTATATTTTTTTGGAAAACTAGTATTTCTTAACATTTATTGATAATGTAATAAATAAATAATCTGTAGTAAATTAAGATAGCAAGATTCATCAACCTGAAAAAAGATAATAATTAATTAAAAATACAACATCATATTATAGAACCTAATTACATAGCTTGAAATTAATTAAAAACTCGTTTATAACTATAATAAATTATTAATAGGTATTTTAAATTAAATTGCATCATTTAAATTATTCTCAATAGCCTTGTATTTTACCACAATAATAGAAATTTAATATAATTATGTACATAAATTATGGATCGAGTACTAAAATCATGAACAGATATTAACCTTATCTTAGGTAATTCAACACTCATTTTTTACTTCTATTACTATGCACAGGCAAATTTATAATATTATATAAACAGAATGATAACACTTTTTTTATAACACCCAACAGCCATTTGTATCATGTTAAATATTTATTTTGTAGGCTATTATCTACATTTTTTAAATCCGTAATTTTTTTTTACACTAAACGATAAAATATCATAAAACGTTATTTACACATATAATGTTATACCCTGTCAAGAAATTTTCAAGACGTTAACCAACATCTAAGCTATTTATACACATGTATTTATAAAATGAAATCGGAATTATAAGTGCAATACTTGCGAGTACCTTTTAGTCATTGGATCTATAGTGTAAACGACGCCTTTGTACGAGTGTTGTTGTTTTGTACACAATATTACAGTTTTATCTACGAATTCCATCAGACTGGTTGTGTTTGTTGAGGTAAATGCCCATTTATCTTTCATAATTTATATTGTATTTGAAAAATATACATTACAGATCAAACAATTTATCAAGTAAAAGTGCATTTTCATCATTTTATTGTACATCTAACAACGATGATTAATTGAATAGGTTAAAGATAATTTTTAAATGTCTTATCACAACAGGTAACTGCGAATGTACACATGTTTGGAGGTTTAATCTAAACCTTAATACGCCCATTGTCGTAGTATGTATAAAATATATATTTATATATATATAAGAGGTTATCAATAATGGTTATTTTTCATTAACGACTTTTAACACTGCCGTATTAACACTATTGCAAATGTTTCTTTTTAAGTATTTTCTTAATAAAATTAGTATTAGGGTTTTTTTATGTCTTACATTGTACTCTAAATAAATTTTGGTTGTAAAAATATTTAACACTTTTTTTTTTGTGTATCAGTGCAGTGCATCTTTTAATAAATTCTCTCTAAGTGATATAAAAATTATTTTTTCAACATAAATAGCCAATTATAGTATGGTATAAACATTTATTTAATAAATGTGTATTGCCTAGTTGGTTAGCGGAAGGTCAAAAATACAATCAACTAGGCGACATTCGTGTCGACTAGTTTAATAGCTTAAAAAATGCACTGCCTAAGTGCCGTATTAGTACCTATTCTCTATAGGCTTCAATCTAGAATAGCATCAAAGTAGTTAAAAGCGTTGAAGTCTTGATGGTCTAAACTCCCTTATATTAGTCTATGTAGGGAAACAATTTTTTTTAGTCTGTAAAAAGTAAAAACTTCAATCTGACTCTATGTATCATACATGGTGTATTTCTTATCAAGTCTTATATTTATGTAAAAATATAATAAATTCGATAAAAGAATGTTATTTTCTTGTATTCTCAGGTACCAGGAACAATAATTGTTCTATTTTTAATTAACAATATAATTAGTTATAATTATTATTTTACAACACAACAAGATTTTGTATAGTTTTTAGATTTTTAAATTATTTAAAACCTTGTAATTTATGACTATTTATTTTACTATCTTCTCTAGTATTTCTGTTAATTTTTTTACTAATTAAATACACATAATTTTTTTTAGATTATAAATTAGGCGTAGTTCGGCCTAATTAACAGTAACTGTTACTACGTATAAATAAAAAACATTATTTTTAAGCATTTTCTCCGTACCTCACTAAATTTATAAGTATTATCGCATACAGAATGAATGTATTTTTTTATTCTTCTACAACTGTCGGATATAAATTTTTTTGAACAATTAACAATGTTGAATTTTCAAAAATTAATTTTTTTTTTTGATATCAATCAAAATTTTCAAATACGAAATAAAAAAAAGCTCAATGTACAAATTTTAAAAATATATTTTTTAAGTATTTTGTTTAAAGTTTTGAATATATTAATCAATTTACAGCAAAAAAATTTTCAAATAATAATTATACTATACCCAAAATATTTATTAACAATATTAATTACATTTTGAATGATTCAAGTTCCCAAACAATAGAAAAAACTATATTAAAACTGACTTTACACGCTATTACAAAATAGTTAAGTTTTAGTTTTAGTTGTTAGAGAGGTGGGCGATAATCGCCCATGCACCCTAACTCTTAGGTTCATTGTTCTAATATACTAACTAAACTTCTACTATGAACTTGAATTTTATATATTTCTTATCTAAAAAAATCGAATAATTAGCTGGGCAGAACATGTATGAAGAGCAAGAGACCTACTTATATATAAAGTATAAGTGTGAAAACCTCGTTAAACCTACCAAGAGGATGTCTAAGACAACGATGCAGATACTGAGTTAAAGGATCTTAAAATGTTAGACATTAGAGATAAGAAGTGTAAACGATGAGCAGAGAAAAATGAAAAGGCTTTATGGAAGCGGCGATGGGCCTTCAAGATCTGGATTAAGCTTATAAATATATATATATTTATTATATTATTCATAATGGTTATCAAAACAGTGTAATCAATTGATACAAAATTAAGTATTTTTGACCAATAATACATCTCATGAACTATCTTTTAAACTTGTACAGTCATACGTCTTACTTAATTTATAAATTTTTCCAGGGGAATATTTCCCGCAAATATTCTTAGCAGCATAACACTAAATACACCTCAGTCGTGTTACGGGTTGATTCAGTGAAGGAATTTCAGGGAAAAACAACTTTCAAAAATTCTTAGGAGAAAATCTAATATTAAAAAACAAAAAAACACATTTGATCAAAATTTCTTTTTTATATTAATAGTTTATCATTAGAAATATTAAAATTATCAAAAAAAGATTAGGGGCGTCAAAATTCTTGTAGCCATTGTGTTAAAATTTAAAATCTGTCTGAATGCCTGGAAGAAGGGTTGGGTTTAAAGTTAATGAATCATGTCATATATCTATGGCTAAATTTTTCAATAAAGGAACNGAATCCGCTACATACCGTATAAATTTCAAGGCCGTAGTGTTATCACGAGCGCGGCAATAAAATCAGTCTCATTACTTAATTGTCACACCTCGTATTACTAAAAAAAATGTCGGTATTTTTTTGCAATTGTTTAATATACTATATAGTCTTCATTATATTTGATAAATCTAATGAAATGTTTTCATATTTATACGTTATTTCATTAAAACTTTACAGACAAATTAAACAGTATAAATGTTTATATAAATTCGAATTTATAAAATAAATTTAATTTCCAATTTAAAAATACAAATTTGTTTCATCACTACTCTAAGCATTCATTGTACATAAAATGTTTGATTTGCTCATGTCATTGAAAAAATTTTTCCAATAAAATCAACAAGACAATTATAAAAATATTATTTCCATTATCACCAACTTAGAGACAGAGTAACAGGGGCATGCTGGGAAGCCAATGGCTCAATGGTACAAAAATTGTGGTAGCCCTAAACACTGCGGTACTCTAAAAAAAGGAATGATGTGCAACAATAAAGTTAAAATAAAATTCTCGTCGCTCTATAGACAGCAGCACAGAGTTCAATTGCACCCTTGTTTCTGTGTCATGTCCGCCACTGGATAATATGGCGTGTATTATTTCTTCTAGCTCTAAGATATACTATTCAATGTCAATTAAAATTATCGTTGAATGTATTGAGCATATATATTTATTGTGATTTTTCTCATCAATAGTTTGAAAGTCAGAAAAAAATACGCATTAAACGTAATTCAGGAATCAAATTTTCAAACAAAAAGTTATTTAAAATTTATGGATATATTATAATATACAATTAACTAAACACTATAAATTTATCTAATTACTGTAAATAACAATAATAAGTAATAATAATAATAATAGGTAATTACTATAAATTTATCTTACACTTTCTAAAACATATACTCCTATAAATAATGAATAACTTATATTTACCGATGAAAAATCATTATTAGTGACAACAGTTTTAATCAAATAAATTAAATTGTTTAATTTTTGCAACTAACGTGAAAAATGATAAGATTTTTAACTGAAAATGTATTGAGTAATTTCAATATTAAGATGTAATTTAAATGAAATAAATAACTCTTTCAACTGTTTAGAGATATATTTAATTAAATAGTACACAGCTGAAATATTTTTTACTTATTAGATACACCTTTTCAATTCCTATTTAGAATAATGTCTTTTTATTTTTCTCGACCTATTATTTATAACACGTTAGCGTACAAATTCATTGTATTTCAATTATTTGTTTACTTTTAGAACACTACAATAATTTAAAAATTTAATATGGCAGAAAAAATTAATCCAACAATAATTTGGAAAAAACATGAATTTGAAGACGAAATTGGATATGATAAATGTAAATAAATTTTTTTAACTATATGTTTATAACTTGTGTGTAATTTATAAATTACATATGTTTTATCTATTGTTATGTAATGCATTATGGGGATCTTAAACTTAGAGATACTTATTAAGTGAGTATCATAAAAGGCCCATCAAAACTAATCATTTATTATAATAATAACTTTTGATGACCTATTTTATCATAATAACTAAATATCTAAATACTTATACATTTTATTTTATAAACCTAGTAAAAAGTGTTACTGTGTGTTGAATATACTTTTTATGCACAAACAAAATTTTTTTAAACAAAATATAATACATTTTAATAAAATATGTATAATAATACATAAGCACAAACTAAGAAGTGGTTGTATATAGATTAATTTTGACGATTTTTTTAATGTTATTCTTTAAAGTTAAGAAAAGTAAAACATGGGAAGGAAATTTTTATTTTGTGGTTGGAAGCGATCCTCAGCTAGGGTATATTTGGCCACCTAAAGATCGCGAAGCTACCGACTGGCAAGAAGAACTGGATAGATGCATAGAAACAGTGGAAAAAATCAATGCCCTAACTCCTAGACCTCAATTTTTGGTGATTTGTGGTGATATGGTAAACGCCATGCCGAGTAAGTTTCATAATTGATTATATTTTTATAATATAAATGCTTTTAAAAATTGGTATGTATAAATCATGGATGGTAATAATGATAAATCGACAACATTTATCGATTATTAATATAATTTCGATATCGGTAGTTTTTTCGGTAAAATTTCGATACTATATTAAAATATCACGAAACGTTAAGAATAATTGTAAGCTGTGAACTTAAAAATAATAAAATTGTTATTAACAAATGGCGGCACAGTGGGGTCGTGGCATAGATGATATCTGATAGTGATTAAAATCACTATCATAAAAAATGCTTCGATGCAAATCTGTAGATAGTGTTTAATTAAAAAAAAAAAATTTGTCAAAAAAGTAGGTCAAATGAGAGCTGAGAAAATAAATGATAGCTATAAAAAAAAAACCACATAGTAAAATAATATTAATATGAATTTCTTCTTACGAGAGGAGACTACAGTAATGAAATCCTTGATATTTATTGAAGTTATTGAATCTAAATGAGATAAAAATCAAAAGAGTTAAACATTTTTTTTTAACTCAAAAAGAATTCAAAAAAAAATTCAGTGCCACAGTCGTGAAAGACCCAAGTGTTACCGTCTCAAAAACGTCTCATTCGACACTTAATAAAAATGGAAATTTAGCTAGTTCAAATTTTAAAGTTATTTTTCTCGACTTCAAAGAAACAAAAAAATTTAAATATGATTAATTTTTTATACTATGTCATTTAGATTGATATAATATTTATGAAAATCAGTGTACTCCCCTTATAATAAAATAAAATACAATACCAAGAATTTTAACACAATAATAGCATATTTTTAAATACTGTAGCTATTTTCACCATGTATTCTCCTAATAAGATATTTTAAAATAAAATAAAATGGTAGCACAGTGGGGTCGAGGCACAGTGTAGACAAGGCATAGATGGGACAAGTATAGATGATATTTGACAGTGATTAAAATCACTATCATAAGAAACGCTTCGATACAAATCTGTAGATAGTATTTCATTTAGAAAAATTGGTGGATTATTCCAAAATCAACATCAAATCTTATTTCTTTGATTATATCCTAATTAGTAGTTCTTTGATTTTAAAATATAATATACGAATAAATACTAATTATAATTATTAAATTTAGTATGAAAATAAAAAAGTAAAAAAAATGTAATAAGTTTAATTTTTTATGTCTTATGACCTTTATACTATGTCAATTAAATCNATCATATGTCTTATGAACTTTATTCTATGTCAATGAAATTATATAATATTCATGAAAGTCAATATATTCTCCTAATAAGATATTTTAAAATAAAATAAAATACAAAACCTAGAATTTTAATAGAAAAATTGCATATTTTTGAATACGGTAGCCATTTGCGCATAGAAGATAGGTCGTCGGGACAAATTTTTTTTTTTCATTTTATAGTACATAAAATAAGCTTTAATTTGATATATGTTTAAAGGACGCAGTATTTCCGGAACATTTTCAAAAATTAAGTTGAAAAAGTTAGTTTTTGTAAAAAAGTTGCTATTTTAAATCCCCCCCGTGAGCAGAATAAGTGTTAGATTTTCAAAAAAAAATGATATCAAATGAAAGAAAATTACCTAAGGTTTCAATATAAAGAAATATTATTTTGATTAGTTAATATTTGAAAAAGTTATGGCAGTTTTAAGTACAAAAAACATCGTTATAAAAGGTGATTTTTATCGCAAATATTACATTTTTTTTATAATTTCGACAGCCATTTGCACATAGAAGATAAGGTGTCGGGACCAATTTTTTTTTTTCATTTTATAGTACATAAAATAAGCTTTAATTTGATATATGTTTAAAGGACGCAGTATTTCAGGAACATTTTCAAAAGTTAAGTTGAAAAAGTTAATTTTCGTAAAAAAGTTGCTACTTTAAATCCCCCCCAATGAGCAGGTTAAGTGTTAGATTTAAAAAAAAATGATATCAAATAAAAGGAAAATGTCAAAGGTTTTAGTATAAAAAAAAATTATGTTGATTTGTTTATTTTTGAAAAAGTTATGGAAGTTTTAAGAAAAAAAAGTGAAAAAAGTGAAAAAAATGACAAAATTTACCGATTTTAAAATTTGTAATTTTTTTGGATATTTCCCCCATTTGCAAGAAACGAGGGAAAATTTTTCAATTTTTAAGGGTAATGTCTTCAACTAGATACGATTTGTAATCTTTTGACGTATTGTTGAAAGAAATCGGTCCAGTGAGAGCTGAGAAAAAGTGGCAACAGACATATAAAAAAAAAAAAAAAAACACGTCATAGTAAAATTAATACCTTCTCAGCTTCGCATCGAAGCTAAAAGACGGATCTAGAATATTTTGAAAACGGAGAACGCAACAACTTTTTAGATGTCAAAATCAATTTTTTGTTTAATTTAATCGTTTAAAATATTATTTTTAAATAAGTAATGATATTCCATCGAGGTTCTCTTTTGGCCTAAAAAGGGAAATAATAAGCCTTGTAATATTAAGCATATCAAAAGTATCAAAAGTTGACTAATTATATATAAATTACTAATTATGTAGAATAGTTTCTCAATATTCGATATCATGAAGAAACACTCAAATCCATATCCCAAAATTATTTATTTATAAACGGATTATATAAACTATTGCCTAAACTTTTTTGTAGCCGAGCAAGATAAATTGAATGAACTTCAAGTTAATGATTTTAAAAGAGTTTTTAGCAAGTTACACCCATCCATTTCTCTTGTATGTTTATGTGGTAATCACGACATAGGAAATACACCAGATGAAAAATCTATTAAGAAGTAAGCACGAAAAATAAATTGTTTAATATAATTAGTAAAACTCACCATTAATATATAAGGTATCGTGAAGAATTTGGCCAAGACTTTTATTCTTTTTGGTGTGGTGGTATTCGATTTTTAGTTATAAATTCTCAATTTTATAAAGAACACGATGCTGAAAAAATAGCTAAACAACAAGAACAGTGGTTGGAAGATCAGCTTATAAAGTACAAGGGGCAAAGAATTATTATATTTCAACATATTCCATGGTTTTTAGATGATATAAATGAAGACGATCAATATTTTAACATAAAAAAAGAGTTGAGAATAGAAATGATAGAAAAATTATTTGACGCTGGTAAGTAGATTAGTATTAATAACAAATATTGGACCACAAATAAAGTAGTGAACAAAAAATAAAAGGATCCTTAATAGGGCTTGAAAACGTTTTCATGTTTTAAAACACTAAAAAACGATCAACAATAAATATCAGTAAGATTTTTTCTGTAATATCATTAAACAAAATATATTTAAAACAGTTTACCAATAAAAATATTTTAATATGATTAATTCCCAGAGGAGTCAAAGTAAAAATAATAGGTAAAGCAAAAATGTTTTAAATTTTAAAATTAGTTATCTCTAAAGAATCGCAAGACCTTTTTTTTGCTCACCATTTTTAGTAATTTTTAATCTTTTAATAATTGAAAAAAAAAAATGTTAAGAGTATAAATTCCTTACAAAACTTTGTTGATTACTGTTCGAAGCCTTTTTTGTAATTTAAAAAATAACTTCTGAAGTTATACAATAAAATTTTAACTTTTCATTATAATAAAAATGCATAAAAAAAAATATAAATTAGGTTGAGTTTAATATATTTTATAAAGTTTATTTTACTTTTTTTTGTAAGTATATACAAATAGTATGCATATTTGGACTAAACATTTGTAGATATATAATAACTGATAACAGGCTTGTATTACATTAAAATCGGCCGAACTATTAATATATACGTAGTATTTGTATGTTTTGTCAAGTAAATTTATGACTACTATTATGAAAATTTCAAACTAGTAAAAATTATTCAGGTTATATCGTTTCAGCAACTATATGCAACATATATTAAATATTTTATTTAAAAAGACTATAAAGTCTTCAAATTAATAATAATTTCAGTACAAAATCATTAATATTTTAATTATTTATAATATATTTAATTATATATATCATTTTCACGGCGAATGTCAACAAACCATCTAATCCTTTTGGAAGTTGAGAAACTGCCCTAATGTAACTTAGGATTCGGTGTCACCGTAAATTCGTCTTTATTTTTTATACAGAAATAACAGGATTAAAAGTACTGCAATTAAGGTAAAATGGGAACAATTTTTAACACACGTGTTAAATAAACGAAATGCGTAAATAAAATAAAATTGTCAATTTCTTAGAATGTATGCATTACAAAATATAAAATATATAGTTAGCTAAGTTATCACGTCCAAGAATTTAACTTGAAAAATAAGTTTAAAATAACTCTGAATATTTATTTTGTATTTATACGAATGGCTAATAACTATTGCTTATTATTTACTTGTTATTACTTATATAACTTATAATTATATATGGTAATGAAGTGAAACAGAAAGATAATATTTTACAGATATACTTAATGAATGACTTGTACAATGCATAAAAGAAATAATTAAATGACTTATATTGAGTTATTAAAATTAGCGAAATAATTAAGAACTGTAGATATGTAAAACTAATTTCTAGACAACATTAAATTATTTTTAAATTAAACAAAAAAAAACACTTAAAAAATAATTTAAAACATTCTCATGACGTTAAATATTAAAAATTAAAACGTTTTAACGTAAAAACAAGTAGAAAATTTTAATTTCAATTCCTTATATAAGGTATTAGGAGACATTTCTATTCCGATTTGTGCATGCTCTCCTTTTATTGAGAAAACTTGATTTTTTTTTTTTATTATCACTTTTTAAGCCCATTAAAAGCCATAGTGGCCTCCCCCGAAGGAGGAGGTTTCTTAATCATTGATACTCCTGTACAGGTGGTTAGTCCGACACCAGAGAGAGGGATGGCAACTCCAAATACCGAACTGATCTCTTTCTCGACCAATGAAGCCGTCTATGACTGAATTTCGAAATCGAGACAGTACACATCTAACACAGCCGCGTTACCGTCTCGGTCACACTGTTCCTTTAAATAAACAAAAGAAATGTTTTCTTATCGAAATTTATAGCAACATCTTAATAAATTCATTTTTTCTAATTTAATTCAATGACTTTCAAACTTCTTACCTGTTTACTGTAAAGAAATATTTGAGGTGCCCCTTACTAATGCAACAAGTGGTATCGGTCCTTATCTGAGTCGAAGAATAAGCTGCTACCAAAAGGAAGAATTACCAACAATATTGTTTAACAACATTGTAATAAACAAGTGTTTAGGATTAAAGAAGTGTATTAACTAATTATTTAATTATCAAGAAAGCATAATTAAATTTTCATTTTCCATTGAAAATTTTTATGATGAAAAATTTTTATTTCTTATAAAAAATATGCCTTCCAATATATTTAATGGTACATTATTTGTACATTAAAAATATTTTATATATTGATTGAAATAAACTAATAATTTAAAAACCCCAATTTTGATTAATACATTTTTGTAATACCAGACCCTCAATTTATTGTCACATGAAAACATTTTCATCGACCCCTCCTTTATGGTGTGAACACTATTAAGTGTTAGTAACGCCCATTTTTTAGTTTAAATTTTATTAACATTTATTAGAAATGAATGATTAAAATTATTATGGATAGTTTATTTTTAAATGTTTTACCAACTATGATATTTAATAAGGTTTTTTTTTTTTTTTTAGGCGTGTCTCATATATTTTATGGTCACTGTCATAAAAATAACACAGGATTTTATAAAAACTTAGAAATGATCACTACTAATGCTATTGGCAACCCATTAGGAGATGAACCACCAGGTTTAAGAATAGTTAGAGTATATAAAGATAATATAACACATACTTATTATCCTTTTGAAAAATTTCCATGTTCAGTAAATATTTAATTTTAAGTGATTCATAAAAGTGTAATTTATTATGAATGTTAAATACTTTATTTTTAAAATTATAATAGCTTTCATTTAATTGTTTGAACAGTGCCATATTTTTTACTTTTTCTTAAGTTACTAATTGAAGATTATGAAAAAATTACTAGACAAAATATCTCAGTGATGATAAAGTTCTTTTTGAAAATAAACTATATAGAGTAAGGGTTACGGTGAAATGACAAATACAATAAGCATTTCACAGTATAAACTGTTTGTTTTTTAAACAAGGAAGTGTTTTGGTGAGAGATGGATGAAGTGATGCAAGGGATATGGCAATGAGAATGCGGTGATAGGTAGAGATATGAATGGACATGTAGGTAATGAGAGGAGAGGATATGAAAGAATACATGGAGGGTATGGATTTATGCCTGGTAAGTCAACAATGGAGCCAGTATTTTGTGTGAGGCAACTAATAGAAAAGTTTAGGGAAAAAAATAAAAAGGTTTGTATGGTATTTATAGATTTGGAGAAAGCTTATGATAGAGTACCGAGAGAGGTTCTAAAGTGGGCATTAATGAGAGAAGGTACATTAATATAATAGAATATATGTATGTGTCGTACGTCGATAGTGCACCAATGTAGACACAAAAGTTTAACACAAATTAATTAATGTTTTTGTATATATATATATTGACGACGAGTTCGTCGTTCGAGCTCTTCTCGAGTCCTCCCATTGGATAAACTGATCAACCCCAATCTCTCTAATTAATGGACTAATAAAGGGGTAGAGTTTAGACCCGTCAGCACAGTCTAGCTCAAAAGTAGCAGACTGAAGGGTGGCTCCTTGTCTACAACTACCTTTTTACTATACCCACTAAAGGACGGTTAAGCCCAAAAACTTGCTAGCTCGTACACTAATTATTAAGATTGACTAAAGGACCAGCAGTCCAACCTTGACTCTAGCCGCACACACACACACAATTCTAAGAACACGGTGAATATAAATTATTTGCTCTAAGTCCAGGTTTTAAAATAGCTATTTTATTTAAGCAACGTATCAAACACAAAGTCAAAAAGTAATATCAAAAATATAACACAAAATAAAATTAAATCGTACAAAGACACTCGCGTACACGTAACTCGACGTTTCTTCGACAAAAACGTCCAGTATCGTCCCCCTATACTTTTCATGTTTCCCTTTTATATTCTTTTTCCCACCATTATTAATTTGCTTACCCTGCATTTCCCTTTTATATGGAATTATTATATTGCTTAAGAGTTCAAAAATTGCTTACTACTATTGTAAAGCTTATATTATACTAAAATCGACGTAATTCAATACTTCCTCATCTAATTACTACATATGATGGCACTTGTACCAGGATAAAAAGCGTAGGTGGAGTAATAGGTTTTCGGGTAAGAGTAGGAATGCATCACGGTTCTGCTTTAAGCCCTTACTTATTTTTTATAGTGATGGATGAAATTACTAGAGAAATACATGGAGAGGTGCTGTGGTGCATGTTGTTTGTTGACGATACAGTGTTAATAGGAGAAAATTAATCAAATGCTAGAGGTGTGGAGATCAGCTCTTAAAGAAAAGAGTTTAAGAATAAGTATAAGTAAGACAGAGTATATAGAGTACGAGTTTAACAAAGGAGAACATAGGTGAAATAAGGAGACCAGTGACAATAGACGAGGACGTGATTGGAGAGGTGGAAAGTTTTAAGTATTTAGGATCGGTAGTGCAAAAGAGCGGTGGTATTGACGAGGATGTAAGACAAAGGATTAAGTGTGGGTAGTTGAAGTGGAGAGAAGCGTTTGGTGTCTTATGCGATAAAAGAATTTTAATGAAGCTGAGAGGTAAATTCTACAAGACTGTAGTGAGACCAGCTATGATGTATGGTTCAGAGTGTTGGGCGGTTGATAAGAAAGTAGAGCAGAGATGAGAATGCTTAGATGGATGAGTGGAGTGAGAAAATACACTTATATGGTTTGGTCATGTTATGACGAGAGAAGAATCGGAAACTGTATGAAAAGTTATAGAAATGAATGTTGAAGGAAGAAGAAGTAGAGGAAGACCAAAAAAGATATGGAGGGATGCTATTGAATGCGATATGAGGACAGCTGATTTGAGCGTAGAAGATGTTCTAAAATCTCTTTACTAAAAATTTCAATCTTGTACAGTTTAACTTAAATTGTTTTCCCTGTCATTTAAATAACTTAAGCAAATTAACCTTTATTGTAGCGTAAATAGCTATAAAAGCTGTAAGAGATATTTTTTGTCATAATTAAATAAAATTTCAACAAATAGATTTTGTAGGATTTTTTATTCATAAAAGTTTTTTTACAAAAATAGATAACATTACACAAAATTTGTCATTGTGTTTTTGCATACATTGAATTGATGATGGATATTTATCTGATTATTTTTGTTTGCGGAATTGATCCCAAGGTAGAAGATTTTCTTCTACATTAACCTCGCTAATCCACTTTTTGTAAAAGTTTTGAAATTTTCTATATCCTTCTTTAAAGTAATAACTATGAACAAAATCTAAGGATTTTTCATCTTTATTTTCCTACAAAAGTTTGAACAAAATTGATTTTAACAATTCTTTAAACTGTTTTATATTATCCTTACCCGTTTTTTCATTAAACTTTTTATATTTTCATCAAAACTTTTTAAACGTTCCATGAAAATATTATTAGGTTTGATTTCTTCATGTTTAATCATATTCATAGTATAAATGACATACCCAAAATTATAATGATAACAAGCTTGTCCGAGCATGGTACCCAATATTTCTGCATTGACTCTAATTAATAAAATAATAAATTAATGAATATTCAAATAAAAATTATAATTTAAAGAGACTCATAAAAAATTATTATTATTACTATTAATGAAATATTAGTTTTAGATTTAAGTCTTATTGTAGGTAAAGCATTGTATATATTAAGCTTCCAAGCATTATTTTTAATTTATAGATCCCTTAAACAAAAGTGGATTCAATTTTATAAACAAGTTTTTTTCAATTTATTAAATTTAAGTTAATTTAAAAAGTTAATGAGTTAATTAATAATCAAATTAATAATTTTTTTGGTTTAACAAATTCAATAAAAAATTAATTTGATAAAATTACATAAGTTAATAAGTTAAGTTGGGTTATCCAAGCACTAGTAGATTTATAAAAATATCATAGACTTAAGAAGGTAAAATTTGTGAATATTTCATATTTAAATAACATGTTAATATAATCAGCTAAATAATAACCTTAACTAAAAGTCATAATTTGTCTCTAGCTGAATACACATAACAAAAAAAAAAAAAAATTTTAAGGTTTACAATAGTTAGATGAATCTTTAAGTGTGTAATTATCGCTTAATAAATCTGAAACTATATTTAGAATCAGCAGCAAAATTTCATAAGAAATTTATTTAAATATTATAAATCACATAATTTCTTTTTTGTTCTTCTGTGCTACTAGTTGTAAATATATTATAGTTATATGCTATTAACCCCATTAAAAGTTTATATTAAGTATTTTATATACATACCGAAACCCATGATCAACCATTGATTTTATGAGATCCTTAGCTTGAAATTTATTTTTACAACCCAAAGCTAAAACGCCAAATGTAACTATGTCTACACTTAGGTCCTCAGAACTTATTAGACTTAAAACATTCTAAAAAACATACTTATTATTTTTATTAAACTTAAACAATTATTTTTTCTAGATTCTCAACTAAAACATCTTGAAAAATATTTTTGAATATTTTTAAAAATTACAACTATGTGAAGTAATGTCATAAAAAAAAATATATTCTTTATCTTAAATATAAATATATTACAATTTTTTTTTTAATATTGTCTTAAAAATAATAATATAACAAAAATAGCATTGAAAATAGAAAATAAAATTATTTATTTTATAACACTAAAATTTGAAAATTGAATAATGGCATCATTCAAAATTAATAAAAAAAAATAATGCATTAAAATTTTTAATAATAAGTTCAATTATAATTACACACTGAAATATTAATAGCTTACTTTTGCTTCTTCATAATCACATCTTAAACTCCTTTTTTTAATTAATATATTGCAGAAATCAATGTCAAGTTGAATGTCAGACTTGGATATTTCAAGCAATAGATTCTTTCATTACACAAGCAGAATTAGTTTATAATAGTAAATTAAATATTAAGTTTATTTTTATTCATTACTTGTTCAGCTGTTAGTGTTGAAGGTATAGCTTCTACTAGTTGGGTAAATATTTTGATGTCTGGCTTAACTTTATTAAATTTCATATTTTTTAAAAATCCTGAACATCCACCCAGTAACATTAACCTATTTAATAAACAGAAAATATAAAATTAAATATTTTATAGAATTTAATTTTATATAATTATTTGATTAATATTTAAAAAGAAATTTTATTACGAATAAAAATTAATATTGACTAACATCCAATCACAGATACAAATCTAAAATAAAGAAAATTATATTTATTGCTATGCATTTTTTTTTTTTTTTTGATATGGAAAAAAGTTAATTTATCCTCCAAATTTCTTTTTAAATTTACTTTTTTAAATATTAAGTTTTAAAAATAGATTTCTTGTGCTTTTATTTTAGTAGTATTCTAGAGGTAACTAATTACCTATCAGCTGGATTTTTTATATCATTTATGCTAACAATGTTTCCAAAGTATGGCTTCCTATCTAAGAGATTGGGTCGATTGTCAATAATTAAAATTTCATTATTATTATTATTTATAGTATAGTGATGACTTGAATTTCTATAATCAAGGTGTTGCTTGTTAACTTCATCATAACTTTTTTCTTGATTTAATAAGTGAGGATCATTAACAATTTGGCCAATTATTTTGCGAGTTTCAAATTCATCGCCAATACCACATTCTCTGGTACATTTTAATAAAAGATTATACGAATACAATGATGGTCTAACATGTTTAGAAATCATTTTTCGCCAAACCTGCAGAAAAAAAATACAGAATGATTTAAAAGTCTTCATCTGGTTATGATTTAATATAATTTAGTAAAAGCTTAACTTAGGTTAATTATCTAAAATTTACTAGAAAGACTTGAATCTCAAAAAAACTTATAGAGCTAAGATAAAAACTAGTTAAAGAATTCAGTTTCATAAGTTTATGAAATATTACGTTGAACAGTTATATTAAACAAAAATGAAGGGTATAGAATGCATTCTGATGTGGAGTTTTAATAGTGACACAGACTTATTATAATATAAAAATTATTATAATTCATCATCAAACATATTTTTTTGGTAGTAGAACTAAATTTGATAAATTTTTTTTAATGAACTATGATGATTATCAAGCTGTCACAACTCAACAAATTTTTTTTTCCAAGAATGAAAAAAAAGTTTACCAGAAAGCTCTGCTTGATGTTTTATGTAATAATTTTAATGTGATAGTTTCAATTTTAGTGAATCACAATACACAATACAGTAAATCACAATATTTTACTACTTACAAGAAGACAATGTCTAAAACCAGCTTTTTTGTCAGATATGCATGCTTGTAAAAGAAAATTAAAAGTTTCATCTTTCAACTTGTACTGTTTGGTTACCATTTCATCCACTAAAGAAAAAGCTGTCAATAAATCTCCAGTTCTACCGAATGCTTTTCATAAAATCATACAAATAAGTAGATAATTAAAATGATCAATGAGATTTATAATATTAGTTGAACACAATTAATATTTGAAAAGAACAATTATAAAATAAAATTCAAATCATAATATGTTATAATCTTTTTTAATTTTATTAATAGAAAATGTCCTACATTTATATTTAAGGCTTTGAAATAAAATCTGACCCGTCAATAATAGTAAGACACTTTTTATCACAACATTTTTTATTTCAGTATGTTTCCTTAATAAGCTCAATTATAATTTAATTAAAATAGTTTGTACATGAAAATTTATTAATTATTTTGCATAAAATTGAGACTGTAATTAATATTTATATTTTTTCATTTAGTTAAAAATTTCAAACTTATTTACAATTACCTCATCTGACCTAGAAATATTTAATTTAAGTAATTTTACACTAGCTATTATAGTAATTAATTATAACATTTCTCTATCATAAAAATTGACCATCTAACTTCACATAAGGATATTTTTTCCAAAACATCTATTTAAAAATAAAATTCAATTTAGTCTGTTATCAATGACTTAATTGAGTCTGACTAAAAACTGATCTGATACTATAAAAATAACCTTAGTTCAAAAATGTGAATCAATTTAGTAGATAGCTAACTAAGTATATTAACTGTTTGCAAATTACTTGATGTAAGAAAATTTTTTTGATAAAAATTTCTACATATGATATAAACCCTTTATTAATCTAGACCTTATTCACATGTTTTTAATTAAATTTTATACTAAGAATTTTATAATATTTTGACTTTTTGCAATAGTTATAAGAAAATTTCTAAATAATAACTTATAATAAAAGTGTTACATAATATACCTTTAATCATAGCATGATAGTTGAAAATATTTGGTTCAATACATTTTAGTGTCATTAAATTATGTAATTTTTTAGCCCTTTTTAATGCATCATCTTTATAAGGTGAATTAGAACAGGCATTGAATAAAGAAGTATATGTAGCAGGTGTAGTTTTGACACCAATTTTTTTCATCTAATTAAAAGAATTAAATTAAAAAATTAGTAAAAAAAAAAAGAAGTATAAAATATTACAAATAAATTATAAAATATCATCAGCAATTAAAAATATAGATGTGTTAAAAGGTTTTTAAACAATTTTTTTAACTATACATTGCTATGAAGTTTAAATTTACTTTAAAAAACCGTATAATGATTGTTAAAAAATATTTTATGCAATTGTATATAATTTAAAAAATAATCGCACAATGAAATTTATTTTGCTAAAAAAGTTTTTAATAAAATAAATTTGAATAATATATTAAATATCTATTTAATAAAAATTTAACTTTAATTATTGATATTAGAAAAGATAGAGAAACACAATATTGATGGATTGGTCAAAAAATCTTATAGGAGAAAGTGAAGTGAGTAGCCTAAAAAGTTATATTTTAAAATGGAAATAAAGAATAACTAAAGAGAAATAAACTATTCTTTTGTCATCTAAAGTTGGCCAAATCAAATGGTAAAAAATCAATCAGTTATAATTATATCAGGTAGTCTAATAGATTTGGTTGTCACCTTAAAAATTTATTCACTATACCCTTGTACATTCTTTTTAAATATTTAATGTTAATATAACAATTTTGAATTGTTAATTTAATATCTTACATTAAAAAAAACTAAAGTTTTTTAGGAAAGATATACCTTTCCTTAAAAATGTATTTTTTTTATTTCTGTGTTCTTATATCTTACATAAATATTTGAATAAAATTGTTTCAAGATAATATCCTAAACACATTGGTTGATACAACTATGTTATAAAATCATTTAATTTTTTTTTCACTCAAAGAAAATTTTCTTTTTTTGGTACAAAATGAAATAGAAACAATTTATGAAAATAAAATATTGCTAATCCCTATAGTTAAATTCTTAAAAAATACATTAATATATTAAAATATATTTTTTTAAATACTTACTTGATTGAATAAACTAAATGCTTTTTGAACATATCCTACTCTGCCACACGAACTAATTAATAAATTAAAAGCATAGTAATCTGGCCTAACCTTCTCATCTTTTAACATTCTTGTTTCAAGTACATCAATAGCTTCAGATAACTAAATCAGATATCAACGAAAAAATCAATGAAGAAATCACACTGCCTTTTAAGACTGTATTTAAAACATATTTTTTATTATTTATCACTATTAAGAAATATAATAAAAATATGTTTAAATATAGTAGGAGGCATTTTTTTTAAAAAAAATATTATCAAAATTATTGTTGGAACAAAAGTTATAAGAGTAATCTTTGGTTCACCTTTGTATAATGGTTGATTTATTTTAAATTAGCCACTCGAATTCTATATATAATAATTACGGTTAGAAAATTCTTTTTAGTATTATATATTTTCAGATTTGTCAATTATAAAGTATTTTTTATGTATATTCCTTATTCCTTACAAGGCTGTCATCTTTATTTTATTAACGGCAACATACATATTTAACTAGCTTATTTAATAAATAATAATCTAATTAAAAAAATCAACTTTTGAAATAGTCTTCCGAAAGTTATTATCAATTTAAAGTAATAACTGGAGATGAGGAGTAGCTGCTGCTATTTTTATTAATAGAAATTTTTAGGCCTTATTCCTCCTTCCTACCAGGTATAAAAATGTTAATATTATATATTATTATTATTTAAATATTATAAACTAAATATTAATAATTAATAATATACTTTGTTTTGACTAATAAAGTCCTGAATTATCTTATGATATTCAGTAATGTATAATCTTCTTTTTTGTTCACTTTTTTCATATTCTATTTTATCATCTGGTTCAGGTGGTAGAGAATCCAATTTATCATTATGTTCTATTTTATTACTCAGTGTACCAAAAATATCACAATCATTTTCATTTTTTTGTAAATCTGTAAATGATATAGATTCTGTTTTTTTCCGAAAACTAAATGTTGTTAAATTTTTTAATTTTGATAAATGATATCCATTAATATTATATGATTTTAAACATTTCTTTCTAAGAGAACCAAGTACTAATTGCTGCAATAATCTTTTACAAGTAAACATCTGAAATTACAAAAATCTTTATTATAGGTCAACTATTTTCAATTAGTATTTTAATTATCATTAAGTTTCAATATATATCAAAAATATTTTTGGATATACAAAACCTCACCCACATAAATTTACTAGTACAGTCATCAGTTAATATAATAAGTATGTACTTTATGTATTTTATAATATATTTTTTAATAATCTGGTAAACCTAAAAATATATGTATTCATACATTAAATAGACTGCTTAAAAATGAGTTGAACTTATTTATGATATTTCTTATTTATTGTGTTTTATGGTTGAAACATCAAAACTCACTAATCTAATTCGAAAATAGTGAATTTTCTACGAACTCACTTAGTATTTTATGTACAGAACCTCTGAATGATCGTATCTTAGTATGTAGACAAAATTTTTTGAGTATTATATGCTATAACTATAAATGAAATTATTTTGAAAATGTTGCAAGCATCTTATAACAAATTATAATGCAAGATTATCTTCTTATCAAAGATACGGATTGGCAACCGCGAAAAACATGCCATGTGCTATGTATCTGATACTAAATGTATTATCACTTTTTAAATGTTGATATTTTAATTAGTGATGGGCATAATCGAATGATTTCGATAATCGAATGATTGGTAATCGAGACATTTTCATATTCGAGTGAATCTCTCGAAAAATCACTCGAAGTTATAATCGTCTGCTCGTATGATAAGAATAATCTACTATTATTATTTATCGAGAGAATCGAAAAATTATTCGAAATATGAATAAATATACCTATAGTAAATAATTATTAATTTAATTTTGCTTTT